ATTGAATGGGTTGCCTCCAAATGTCATCTATTGTTTTGTAAGTGACTCACTGAGCCCACGGCATTGTACACGAATTCCATTTATTTTCTTTTTACCACAATGGCATTTTTGTGACATATGTTTATCTTTACTGCAATAATTAGGGGGAAATGCCAGTCTGATAAATACCCAACTGACATATTTCATATAGATACATTGAGAGTATTTTATTCAATAAAATACGGATTGTAATTAGTGTAATTTGACACCTTTGATAGGATTTGATTTTGTAAGAACATGGACTGTCTGAAGTGGCAATTGGTGTTTGAAATCTTGCATGTTCTTTCTTCTACTTCAATAAAAAGTGATTGAGTATATTGTTAACTGGTTTTCAAGAAATCATCCAAACTTAAATAAGCATTACTGTGGTACTTAGGAGACAGGTAATGTGACCAGTAATCATTGAAGGCTTATTGCAGGTATTTTGGCTTTTGGTATCTTAATGTGTGAAAAATTATAATGCCACTATTGCCATTATATTTCAGATGAGTGTAACTGAAAGCTGGCTCGGTTTGGCTAATTAAAAGTTATGAGTGGTCCTGGTATTTGTCACGTGGTCAACTGGTTAAAGAGCAAAGTTATTTTAGTGTTATGAAAAGCCAGTTTTAAGGGCAATCTGAAGGCTTTTACACTTGAAATACTTCAGTTACTTCAGTATTTTACTGTGGTTCAAATTAATTAAATGTAGCCCTGAATTTTGTTCCCCCCTTTGGATGTTTTTATTGGTCACATTTCAACCTTCAGACTTGCCTTCACCTCCTAGCAAACAGGTAAATGTTCATTTTGGAGGATTGTTGTTCCATCTACTGATTCCTTTATCTAATCAAAAACTCTTCTCATCTGTTTTGTTGACCGATGTTAACATTAACATTGATTGATGTATTTGAAAACAGCTGGCTTATATATTTTCTTCATTAAATTACAGCATTTGCAGGCTTTGGTTGATGGTAACTCTCTATTCTACAAATGTGTTATTTCTCTCCTTCATTTTACATCAGCATTTGTCAATCTATAGATGCAGATGATTTGACCTTGATACTTTGTTCAGTTTACATCATGTGTAAGTATAGTACAGTACAGTTTACTTGTTAACTGCTTAAACAGTTTGAGCCAGTATTCCTGACAATTTTTAAAATGTCATTTTTGTATCTGTAATTACTGATCCATATGCTAGATACCTGACCTTCTTAGAAATAATTACCCTGATACATTTGAAGGACTGCTAGCAAGCAATTTGGATTTGCAGTTTAATGTTAGTGGCATTTCAGGGAGGAATTTTCACTTGTCACTAAATTTTCAGTTGAACACCTAAACCGCTGTTCGCTATAGCCCAAGACAAGGCATGCACTGACCATAAGATTGAACTTATGGTTACTTTTATATTAGCTCATTAAATAATTTGCATATAATATCACTGATGAAGCAGAGCAATGTTTTCATACTAGTTTTTCAGATGAAATTGGCCTTTGTAGAGCAGAGCTACCTGCCAGATAGTGTCTTTCTTCTACTTTCCAAGTACAGGGTCTGTACTTTCATCCCATCTCACAACTAGAATTAATTTTCAGACCTTGCCTTTTTAAAATTATTTTACATCAGTAATTTTCCCATCATGCCTACAAAGTTAGGTCAAGACAAGCTGAAATAATTCCGCAGCACAATACTGTTTTCAGTCCCACGTGGCTGATGTACCTAATAATCATCTGGTGATTTATTGGTTACTTCTGTAAGAAACTTCTAGAAGAAGCATCATTGAGTGTGTCAGTGTTTTGCATTAAAGTGAATTGATTACAGTTGTGTGATCATCTCATGGTTTTGCTCAAGCAGCAAAACATGCTGCTTAAGAACAGCAAATAAAAATCATCACATGATATTGAGGGGAAATGGGAAAATGAATGACCATGAGTTGTTTGACTCTGGGGAAAGAACTTTTAGAAAAGAAAATGGCTTTAAAATCACACAATGGAAATGTAGGGGTTCAGCTGGATGTCTTATATTTTAATCACAGTGGAGGGTTGATCATACCAAAATACTCTTTTCTGGGAAATATGGCATACACCAAAGGAATATTCAAGCTGAAAATTTGTTTATATATAATCCAATTCCATGTGTTCATTTATTTTAAAGGTGAAGTTTGCATTGTGACACTGGGAGAACTGGAAAATATTTTTAATCTTCATTATCTCATCCTGTTTTCATACTTTTGTTACTGTAAATACTTTATATACATGATACTATATTTATAGTTGTGGTATTGTGAAAAATAAAGCCTCGATAATTAGAATATTACAAAAATAAGGAAGCAACCTTTGTCATATTATTATATACAGCTGACTCTTCTGTAGAATACCTGGTCAAATATAACATTGCGTTTTTCAAAGTTAAAGCACTTGTTCATGCTTTTGCATGTGTTTGGAAACAGTTGTCCCTTTGTGACACATTGGGAAGTGCATATTGATAGAAAGGGGGACAGAAACTTTGCATGAAGTCATTTGAGAATAACTTGCTCCCACAGATTTTCATCACCCGGGGACCAGAGCTTAAAAATTGGGACAGAGTAATAACTGTCCTTATTAGTTAGAAATATATATGAAGATTCTTATATAGGTATTCTCATAATGTATTCTGCCTAGCAAGAATCAGTACAATTTGTTAGCTAATACAGTCCTCAGGAAAACAGCAACTATACCATGAAAATATCAGTATCTCACCAAAAGACAGTATTAACTCATGAGAAATGAGAAAAATAAGCTCCGTAGAAAAATTAATACAATATGAAGATGACAAGGTATTAGGTTAGTTGTGAACTACTTAATGCTCAAAATCAAAATAGTAGGCTTTCTTCTTTAGGTTCTACATACATGCAGGAGTGGCTTGTGCTACAATAATATTAGAAGATGAGGCAGACAAATTCCTGCTTTAAAGTCTCTAGTTTGTGGGGCACTTTGACACATCCTTTTTGTGAGAATAAGAAACTACATGTGGAACCGTAATAATCCAGCATAGCAAACACTCTCTTGATAGTGCCTGGATTTGCTCATTTACAGCCAAAAACCCCACAGTTGCAGCTCTGTGGCTATTTTCAGGAAGGACCTCTAACAAATTAGGCTAAGCCTTCTGCTGAGGATGATGCCTTTCTCTGTCAGTCATCTCTGCCATAAGCAATACTGTATTTTCTGTTACACATTTGCTCCTACTAATTCAATAGCAGAATTCTCATTGATGAAAGTGGATGTTTGATAAAAATTACTGGTAGTTCATATTTTGGTTGGTCCTAAGAGCAAGGAGAATGCATCTGTATGCATCTGATTCCAGGTCATGGAAAATTCTGCATACCTCCTAAGTACCCTATTGACTTGAATTGAATTATTATGCATTATTAAAAATGGTTTGATATTATCAATCCCTTCATCCTTTTAAGTCCTGTTCATCGTAAATGTCCTACCGTTACAGCGCAAGTTCATGTTTGCTGTTGATAGCAGTTCTCACTTCTACTTTGTGCCCTGTATTTAGTCATTTCTTTTAGACGTGTAAGTAGTCTGAGCAGTTATTGAAATCTGTGACCTTATTTACCTTATCTTCTATACAGTACTATTGAACTAATTAGCAGTACTGAGACTTAAGCCAACAAGGCCTGATTTTTAAGTTATTTTAAGGCTTTGCACCAGGTGGACAGCATAAAATTACGCTTATATTTACATTGACTTTCACTGAAGACCCTTAATCGGGAAGAGGCGTAATAATCTGTTATCACCTGAAATGTAAATCAAGAGGTCTGGATTTTCGTGTCTTTAATGAGATGGAGTTTTATGGAGTTTTTTGGACATCTTATTTGCCAGTAAGAAAAAAATCTCATACAAGAATTCTGGATAGATAAAAGAGTTTAAAAATTGGCCAAGACAATATTTTAGTAATATTAGTCAAGAGTATCTTAAACAAAAATCACAGTGTTGTAGTTAAAAGGAGTTTTTCATTCAGATAGGGTTTCACTGTGTTGTAGTGAAAAGATTTTCATTCAAATAGAGTTAAACATGGATTATGTGCAGTAATATGCACTTTCATTCAAGACTACAGTCAGAATCGTACATGCTTCAGCATGTTTTAAGAGAAATCTCATCTTTGACTTTAGATAGATAGATATAGAGGTAGCTAAAAAGTGAGACGCATTTCTGCATCCCTCTCTACTGGGAGATATATATATATATTTGTACTTATACATGTATGTATGTATATTTATACAGAGACAAATTTTAAAAAGATCATAAACTGTTTTCTACTTGTGCAGACAGCATTTTGCACATAAAAAAATTTCTATATATGTTTTTAAATAATGTTGGAACCTCATATAAATGAATTTTTCAGAGAGCAGTCCTTACGGATATGTGGGTAAGAGAGCACAAATATGTGTGTTTTCAATACACACATTTGTATTATTATTAACAATATCCTGCTATTAACAGCTATACTCTCAGGTCCTTCCTTTTTCCCAAGAGTGTATTTTTTTCTATAAGGTATATTTACTAATTGATAATGGTCTGCAAGTTTCACTGTAAAAAAGCAGACTAATATGTGCAATATGGAAGTCCCCTGATAATGTAACCAATATTTTTCCGTGATTAAAAAAAGTAAAATAAGTATTTCCCCATGGTTTTTATTTCCCTAACTCTGCATTTCTTAGGTTGATTTCATTATATGAGCTTGAAAAAAGATTTGTGGGAATTTTTCCACTGTAATAGAGTTTTTTGGATTGCAGCAAAGAGTAAAGCACCAAATACCTTTTTTAAAAATATATTTATTGCCCAGTTTTGAAATCTGTAGACACTGCTGGACATTCTCAATGTAGTGGAAATGAAAATCCAGGTGTGACATGCTTTATCTCTTGGATCAAGAAAACATTAGCCTTTACTGCTACAGTACCTAGAAGAGATGAACTGTCTTTAATACTATTTCTATTTATTTTACAGTTTAACAATAATGCTCAGAACGTCAGTTGCTTTAATCATCTTGTCCAAGCTAATGTGAGGAACAAGAAGAAGCTGAAAGAAGCTGTCTATAAAATCTCTGCTAAAGGAATTACAGATTACAAAAAAGGCTTTAGCTATGCTTTTGAACAGCTGCTAAATGTAAGTATGAAATTCATCTCTGCTGTAAAGTGAAGACGGAGAACTTGAATTTTCAGATAGCCACTGCACGCTCTTCCATTGTGTAACTAAGTGACAGAAGTGCAAACCTTTATTTAGCAAGTATATTTATCCTGACAATATGTTTTTTCTTTGCAGATCCCCCAGCAGATTGCTAAGATTCATGAATAAATTTGGTTTTCAATGTGCTGTACTTTTTTTACTTCATTCATTCAGCTAGTTTTTCATTTAACACGTGATTCTCAGTTGGCATATAGCTGTGGTAGTGATTGATTTGCAGGTAATTTTAAAATGGAAGGCTGTATTAAATAACAGTGTAAATGTAGTAAATAACAGTGTTGTTATTTCAATATTACCACAGTATCTCCTAGCAATGTTTAGTTAACCTACAATTTCTTAACTTATTAGAAGTCATAAATAGTTGACCATGGCTTGAGTAGGACAGAGGGGAGCAAATTACTTAGTTAATAGAGGAGTATTAGACACCTGAGAGTATTCTAATTCCTTTCTCCTTCTGATGTATAAAAAGAATGTTTTCCTCAAAAATTAAATGCAGTTTCCATGTTTTAATTACATTGTACTTTCTAACTTGCACCCAAGCACTAGCCTTCTGAGTAGTAATGTTTCCTATTTGCCACAAGTGTTGGGGTTTTATTAGTAATTAGTTTTGATAGTTTGTGTTGCTTTTTAAAAAAAAAATTCTACTTTTCACCTTCATAAAGACTGCATATTTGATCTTTACCTTAGTGTAAATAAAGCTATACCAATTTACAGTGTTAAGGATCTAGCTTAACAAATATGAAGTGTATTCTTTTTATTACTTTTTTTTTAATATACCAGTGATGTCTCCCAGTGTAAAAATCTTTAATCATTTTCCCTTAATCTGCTGGATTCTGGACTTCAGGGCCCTTTCCTGCCATTGTATATGCAGCTTAGGGCTAGAACTGGTTGAAAAATTTCTAACCTTTGTAAATTTTGATGGAGGAAAAGAAAATACAATGTTTTCAAGGGTGTTTTCTCAGCAGATCGCTATGTAGGTGAGCAGAGGGGTTTGATGGGGAGATGATTGGGTGCCCTCTGCTGATGGTTGTATAAAACTGCAAACAGGATTTTAAAAGCTGTTGGACTTTTTCAGACTAGGCTGAAAGGCATCTCCCCTTTTTCTTCATTTATCTCGTGCAGAGGGAGCCAGGAAGACACAAGTAATTTTGCCAAACACAGCTTGTTCCTCACAGTACTTGTATTTGCTTAACATTATGTAGTACATTTGGTGTAGCACCAGATACGTACTTTGTGTACAGGCAGTATTAAGACGACCTGAACACAGAGGAAGCTTCAAAGTGGACTAGTTTGTAGGACTAAAAAAATTGCTTAAAAAAATAATGGACATCTGTCTCATAGTGGGACCTTCTCTCTTGTAAGTGGAAACAGAGGTGTGATTAGCCTCACATAATCTCTGCAAGCCTGTAAATTATGGCTGGACATTGTGGATATGTATATCAAGGGAAATGAAGAGATTGAACTAGGTTATAGAAATACAGTCATCCTCTTCAGATATTGGCAAATCCATCCGACAGGAAGAGAAAAAGGGCTGGTGATGGAATTAGCACTGGACTTTGGTGACAAGACAATATAATATGATAATATAATACAAGCTTAAACAAATTAAAAAAAATATGCTTGGGGATAGTTTCCGGTTGCATATTTATGAATTCAAACAGTCCAATTGCTTTAAGGACCATGGAAATGGAATATTTTTTAACAGCTCAAATTTTCGTAATAATTTTGTGGGTACTGTTTCTGGATGACAGTTATTTCAAACAATTTTCCTGAACACCGAAGTAATATTTCACTTGTGCCATGAAAAACTTACTGATATGTTGCTAGATGGAAATATACACTTCAGGTTTTTTCAACATACTAATACAAGTGATTATCAATAATCTGGATTCCATCATTTTTATGCAGTATTTTTCCATTATTTACTGTTATATTAACTTGCTATTTCTTTGAAAATAATAATACTTCCGCTTCAGCAATTTAGGAGCTTTTTTCCCCCATACTATAATAGCTACAATTTGTCAAAAAAATTACCTTGAAATCATCTCTTCTTGATCTGAGTAGTTGATTTTTGGTTTGGTGTACCTTTTCCTTCTTCAGCGACATGAAACTCATAATAAAAAATGCATTCCTGAAGTGTCATGTCACTACGTATAATCCTGACCTGCTACTTAATGAGTTAATTTTAGAGATGTGAAACTTTTATAAACCAAAAGCAATTTTAGGCACAGTATAAAATGGATCATGTCTTGCCTGCTTGTTTGAAAGAAGAAAAGAAAAGGCCTTTATCAAGTGCAAGAGAGAGCTAAAAAAATTAATACGCAGACTCAGTTCCAACTTGTATTCTTCTGTGTTTTAAGCCAAGAAGCCAGTTTTTGTCCCGGGGAAGCTGCTGTATAGGCAACACATTCCTCTTCAGCTGTGGTCTGTGCTGGGAGGGCAGAGACATCCATTGGACTGCTGAGGCAATCTGTTCAGAAAAATGATGAAATTACTGCATCAGTTTTGCAAAATCACTTATATTCGCTTCCTGAGCCAGTATCTCTCCATCTTTGTGCAAAGGCGGGGTGGGGGGGAGGAGATGTGTTGTAAAGGCAATTCCACCTTCCTCTTGATCCCTTGTAAGAGACTGATGTGTTAAGTTCATTCATCAGGATGATTTGAGCTTATTCATGTTCAGATTTCCAATATTGTTTGGAGGCTAAAATCTTGGAATTTTTTTCCATGACATGACTTTAGTGTCTAAACAGTGTAGCGTAAGTAAGTGTCCTTCTGTAAGTACTAGGAGATAAAGAGAAAACACTGCATTTTTCTGATACTGTATAAGCATATACTAAGTAAGCCATTAGAAAAATCCTGATTTAGTCAGTTAAAACAAAGACTAGCTCGAGTTCATATTGCCCATAATAGTGCTCATTTCAAAATCAATAAAAGAGTTTTATATGATCAGGCTTTGGTCCCCTTCCTTGTCATCTCTTTGGTTTCTCTCTGATTTTATTTTGGCCCATATATTAAATCACTGTAAATGTAGGTGAGTTTCTTTATTTATGAAGTATCCAACTCTACTTTTATTACTTTTTTAATATCGAAAAGATTGCAGCCCAAAGCAGTATCTTGTAGGTTATATTTCACAAGCAAAAAATGATCATAAATTATTTAATTCCAAATGAAACACTGTGCTGATGAGATTGGAGAGAATATATTGATTTCAAGTAGTTTTTATGTGTTGTTACATGTAAGAAAATCTTTGGACTTGTTTTTTTCAAATTATTGAGTAAGTAGTTATTCACTGAGTATGAACTACCAGTACAAATCATTTCTGAGGAATAATTATTCATCTGTTAATATAGTGATGGCAAACAAAGTTTTCGTATTTTAGTTTTCTGGGAGCATTGTGGAACCGTGGAGCTGCAATACTGGCGATTATCGGCTGATGTTTGTGGGCTGGCTTTGGTGTTTCAGTCTCTTTATTACAAAAGAACAAGGAATCAGATCAGGGAGTAGGATGAAAAAGGGGAGTGGGATCATCTCATCTGACCAGCCATGTGAAAATTAGTCACTATCCAGTCAAAAAGACTAAAGCAAGGAAGAACTGGGTTCTTTGTAAGGATGACTCTCCTATTTATTTTCCTGACTTTATAGTAAATTCATATAGCAAAATTCAGGCTTGTGGAAGAGGAATTTATTTTAGTGAATCTTTAAGGGTTTTACTCTGTCACATCCAACTACTCAGAAGTACCAAGATGTGTCTGACAAGGACCATTTGTATGCAACACAGAGAACAAGGACCACTGGCTATAAAATTCATGAACAATTTGCTTAGACTAGATTCTTAACTTTTAGGGAATAAGGAAAGAAGATGAATGCCAAAGGAGGAGCCTTTGGCTCTTTTCATTAGGAGCCAAAATTCCTATTCACCTTTTCATTGTTCTGGCTGTGGAACAATGTTTTTATTCCTTTTCACAACACACTGCATTTTTCTCAGTGGCTTTACTAGTTACTTTGCTGAATTAGGAGTCAAAGGGGCTTCTCAGTTCTCTCTGTTCCAGGCTTGCTCTCCAGAAATAATGGAACATGCTCAGTTCTTCACCTCTGAGTTGCAGTCTAATTAGAAAAGTAGGTGATTGAGATATCTTAATACTCTAGGCAGCCATATCTTGGCTGCAATATATTATACAAACCTGATTCTAAAATACTTTTCTAGAAGTTAGCTATTCATTTCAGTGTGTTAAAAAAAACCAAACAACAAAAAAAAACAAAACAGGAAAGAATTAAAGAAGTGAAGGGTGGAGCTTATTTTAAGGAAATGTCACAAAAATAGCAAATGCAAAAATATTTCTAAGTTTATAAGGTAGATTTTTTTAGATGTACCTGTAGGATGCCTAAATTATCAGAGTATTCATTTCAGTGGTCAGTGAGCTTGATAGTTTTTGTGAGTAGGAGTCCAGCAGAAAAAAAAAAAGAATATTCAGTAATTCATAAGAGAGTCATCCTTCCCAAATTTCCATAAGGACAGTAAGGATAAGAAAAAAAGTAAGGATGAGAAAAGAAAGGAGAAAAAATGTTTAGAGGCCCTCACTGTACAAGTCTCATGCAGAACATCTGTACAGGAGTGCTGTGGGGTTGATGTGATGGGTACGAGCTAAAGAGCTTTCCTTGTGTTGGTGGAGGTGAGAGGAACCACCAGATCCCCATTCTTCTGTGTTGGGCTAGATCCAAAAATATTTAAGTCTCATGGAACAGAAAAATGGTTTTGTTTTGGTTTTGGTTTATTTTATTTTATTTTATTTATTTTATTTTATTTTTCATTTAGAAGGGAGTATTAAATTAAATCCTGAAAGACTTTGGAAGTTTTGCCATTACCGTGTTATAGTAGTAAGCATGTTGATATGAAAGCCGTCAAACCTAGCAGTTGTTTTTCCGTATAGCCTGAAATACAAAAAAGCTTCTCTTTGTATCTCCTACAGCACAGTGTCTCTAGAGCTAACTGCAATAAGATTATTATGTTGTTTACGGATGGTGGTGAAGAAAGAGCACAAGAAATTTTCCATAAATATAACGAAGACAAAAAAGTAAGTGATATATGAAAGATTTTACTACATAAAATACAACAGCACAAAGAGGAACATTTAAATATGGAAGTGAAAACGTTTTTGGTATGTGTATATAGTACTTTTAAAAAACATATTAGTATTGAACCTTAGGGCACTTAAAGCTTTCTCTATCTATAACATTTCTTAAAAAAACACCATAAAATATATTTACTATTTTACACCTTGTGACTCATTGGTGTCAAGCAGTACAGAGGTATACCATAAGCCATAAAGAATTAAACTTTTTATTGACATTTTTCTTGTATTAGCATAATCCTTGCATTATCAAGTGGAAACACAGCTAGTTAAATGGTATGAGATATATCTGTATTTCGTCACTGTGAATATTTTCTGTATGTTTTTGTTGTTCATCAGACAAAGGCAAAACCAGATCTCAAGGTTAGAATCTGAATCTGAATAGATTTGGGCTGGAACAAACCCCAGTGTTTTTTTTCCCAGTGAGGCTAATTATACGTTTGAATTTCTTAGCCAGGAGTGGGATGGCTTTCTATTGATGAAATTTGAACTGTGGTTCAACCAGAATTATGGGTTTGACATGAGAATCATGGGATAAATTGTATTGTTCAGATTAGATTGGATTATTAGCTGTGCTGGTTTGGGGTTTAAATTTTGATTCTAATCTAACTTCTGGTCTGGCTTTTGGATACTTATAGATGTAAAAACGCATGAAAGTGTGTGTGTGTGTGTGTGTGTGTGAGAAATAAAGCAGATTTGTAAATTGTCTTCTACTACATTTCAGTGCAAATCACTATATTTAGAAGATTAATCACTTTCTAAACAAAAGCTAAATATGAGCTGGATTCACACTGCAACTAAGAATTTACTTTTTCTAGTGCTTGCGCATGTGCCTATACCTGTTTTTTTGTGTTTTGTTTTGTTTTCAAAAAAAGCAGCTAGAAGTTAGATCACAATTCACCAATACACTTTAGCAGTTGCCATGGATGCTTTTGTATAAAGCAGTGGAAGTATTTTGTTGGAAATCCTCATATATTTGAATTAATCCCTTCAAAAGGAAAACTAGAAATGCATGACACAATTTCCATCTCGAACAGTGATTCCCTCAGTGACCTTGTATAATCATTTTGTGTCTGCTTTATGATAGTGTTTCACACAGAATGATATGGTGGGGTTTAGTTAATATTTGTGTCTGAGCTGAAAGTACTTTTTAAACTGACAATTAGGAGGAAGAACTGAAATCATAGCAACTCATCGTGTGACACACGGCTGTATTCTGAAAATATATGCAGAGATTCCTCTTCAAATTTGGACTTGGTAGCTTTTATTGTGTTACAACAAAAGCCGTCAGCTAAAGGAAATATGTGCATAAGGCAGAAGATGTATGATTCATTTCTTATTGTTTCCCATATAATTTGCCACGTTAGGAGGAAAGTATAGTGAAATATCCAGTCCAAACAACAAAACAGATTTGCAGTGCTGAGATTTGTGGTCTTATTCACATCATGCCTGACAATCAATTATTCTGTGAAGTATAACAAATGAAATGTAGGATTTACTAATTTAAAATGGTTATTTTACTTCATCCTTTAATACTTTAATTTTGCAATTCCAGTGGTTGGGTTGATTTTATATATGCTATTATATATAATACAATACACTCTCACTTTCTTGTTCCCTCTAATGAATGAGGGTTTGGGGGTTTTATTGTATATAACAAATGTATAATCATGATAATGGTCACTGTATGGATTTCTGATTATTTAAGTATATTTTCTTGTATAATTAAATGCAGCACAGATGCAATGCAAGGCAAATTTCCTATACTTGATTAAGTTCTATGTATCTACATGTTCAAATCTTAGTAAGCACTTACATTTTGTTACTTATCTAATAAAGTACTGTGTTGCTAGATGCCACCCATTACTGGTTTTCTCCAAGGTGACATTGGAAATATAAGAAATACTAAGAAAGTTTTTGCAGGTATAATTTGAAGAACCATTTGCTTTCTCCTTGTAGTTTTCAATCAGTAAAAAACCTTGTGATGTTGAAGGGAAATTTATGGTTGAAAAAATTCTGATGAGATTGAACCAGTAAATTCATTTTTAGGAATCATAATGAAACACCCCTGACAATCTTTCATAACATTCTAGTATTTTTAAAAACAAGACTAATACAAAATATGCTTGTGGTCATGCTCTCCTTAGTAAGACTACACTTGATTCCAGAACAATGACATGTGGGCTCTCTTGTTACCTCTCTGGGTAATTTAATGTTAATCTTAATCCAGTGGAGCATAATAACATAATTGACAGACACATTCTAACATGAAAAATACACATATACTTTTAATTTTGTGAAGGCATAGTCACAAACATAGTGTTACCTTGTTAGATTGCATAGTAGGCTGCTTTCATATAGTAAATGATGAGATATTTAAAGATATGTGCATCTAGATTCTGTTGTCTTTATTGCAGTTAATTTATAATTTATTTCACAAATAGCCCATTGAATGTAAGACCAATCTTATAATTATCATTTGTAGAGAGACTATTCAATATGAGTAAGGTGTTAAAAACTTTTCTGTTTTACCATAGTAGCAGTTCATAGTGTAAATATGTATCAGCTGATGTCTTGCCTGCTCTGCATTTGTTTGAACACTTTTCCTTGTGTTTTCTGTACAGTATATAAAAGATGAATCTTTATTGTCTTATATAACTGTCAGTCACTTCCCATCTTAGGTACACTGTGTTGTAAACTTACTTTTTTTTCTCCCGTATGAACAAAAGACTATTCATTCAAATCTATTAATCCTTGTTTTCATCTTCCTGATGTAAAATTGCTTCAGCTCTGAAAGTATTTTTTTCTTCATGTCAGTTACTTTGTAATTCCTTGGCATGAAAGAAGCTTCAATAACTTCTGGCCCATCAGGTGACATGACTTAGTACACTTGTTTGCAGTGCCCTTAGGGCAACCTTCAAGTTAAGAACTGAAAGAATACAATAAACAATTGGAAACTACTAAAAGAGCAGCCTAGAATCTAGAGGCTGGAAAATTGTACTGTTAAATTAGGGGGTTTAATCTCTTTGAAACAGCATACAGATATATTTAAAATAATTTTCTGTCTTTACAAATCGTTTACAGTATGAATATGAGGTTTATTATAAAACTTATGTAACACAGTTTTGAGGAGGAACATTCCTATTTTTCATCCGCTTGAAGTGGAAAAATCACAATTGTGTTTCACCTTTGCATGCCTTCTTCCCTTTATAAAGCCAGATTTTATTGTCACAGATTGCAACTACATGCTGTGCCTGATATTTAAAAACTGGCGTGTTTACCTTTACAGTGACATTTGGGGCACTCACATTAAATGTGTGAAATACCACACACGTGCTAAATTTCAGGAATGAGGGTGGTAAATTTTCATTTTATTTGCACTCATACTACAGATGGCTTCACTGAAGATAGCAATATAAATTTAATTGAAAAGTAGGCCCAGTAGGCATTCTTCATCCTGAGAATTTTGAATTCACGTTGAAAATAGAAAACTAACTTCAGCTTTTTGGGGCAAATTGTGCACCCTAAAATCTGTGTTTTGAAGGATTGCTCAACTTACATGAGTGGGGAAAGACCTTAAACATACCTCATGCATTTTCAGTTGTTTGAAGTTTCCTAACATGATGGAGGTTTGTGGGGGTCAGGTGGCTTGATCTGACCCACACAGGTAGGGTTGATCTGATCCCTCAGGTAGGAGGAGAACCATAAGTTGGGTCTCATGTCTCATTCCCACAGAATCATCTGTCGTGATTAATACAACATCATTTTGTGTAGATTTTTCTGACAATATCATTTGAGAGGAAATGGTATGCAGAGAAATTTTCCAACAACTCAGTTCCATTAAAGATCCCTGTATGTGGTGGCCACAGAACTGCTACAGTGATAGAGGTCCTATGGGAGAAGGCTCCAGCTTGCTGTAAATCCAGTGGGACGCTTACGACTGGCAGTGACTTCTTCCAAATGGGACACATTCAGCGTGTCAATAGAATGATAAAATGAAATATCTATGAGAAAGCACTTGCAGAACTTTCCTCTAAAACAAAAATACCTCCTACTGTCATTACCAAAGGAGGGAACCATTTTCTTCATTGGTCTGAGTCCATTATTGCACAACTGCAAGTCAGTAAAACTAAAAAGAAAACTGTTAATCTAGGCAATGATGTATGAATCATTCTAAACAAGCCTGAAAGTGTTAGTCCTGAGTGCAAATGACCATTGAAAAAGCCCATGACATTTCCACTTGGGGTTGCCGTGGGATTCTCATCAGGTGTCAGATGGAATGAATGTAATCTAGAGTTACTTATAGAGCCAAAAATAGAAACAGCATCTTTCTCAACACTAATATCAGCTTCAAATAGAGCTTAACAGCTCTCAAAGTGTACCCCAACAGTTCTTGCATTTCTGAGTGGGTGATAGGCTTGTGACACAGGATATAACATAAAGTAATTAAGTTAAGGGTTGAACTGAGCAAAATTCTGGTTTATATCTGAATGGCATGTGGCATAGTTTGATAGATAAAACTTAAGCCATTTTTTTAAGCTTTCTGGATTGTAGATTGTTCTCTGGCCTTCTCTACATTAGCCTTCTGTGATCTTTAGACAACCAGATGCTGAGGTATTTCTCATTCCTCCTGATAGTTCCCCTGTGCTGTGAATTTTCTTGGAGTAGTGATGCAGGAAATCCCATGTAGAAGAAATCTCCAGCTAGCTGGTTAAACTGGCTCCCTGGCTCCTTCCCTAATCACTTCTGTCTTAAGAGTGTGTCATCTTCCAGCTGTTAAATTTAATTTATCGTATGTACTGTGACATGCACAACTGGTAAAGCTAAAATATTCTGGGTGAAACTTGGGTCAGTACTTACAAATTCCACAATCAATTCCTTTTTCTTTCAAAGTAAAAGTGGAACCCATGTTATAAGAGTGCTCACTGAAGAAATACCTTACT